GTACTAAAGCCCATTTTCTGTTTTTCTTTTTTTCCTAAAAGCTTTTCTGAAATGAGGTTCATATTTACAATCAAGCTCCTCTTTGTTTCACCACCGTGCACAAAATATGTGCATCAATCAGTAAAGAGGAGGCATTTGTGTTCTTGTTTGCCTGCAAAAGTGTGTGTGCGTGCATCCATGTGTGTGGGTGGTAATGGTGGAGAGAAAGGCTCTAAATTGATTGTTTCCAGAGTGACCTGTAGAATTGATTCACTATGCAACAGCTGCAGTGACTCCAAACAATTTGCTCAGGCATGTTCAGGAAAATGACAAGTGCAAACAGCACATGGACATGGGTTCATCCTCATGTTGCTGCACAGTTTAGCTCTAAGCTCTCGTTATCAGTTTGTGTCTTCTGACAAACACAAAAGCAGAGAAAAATGATGTTTCTGTGGGCTGTTTACGTTTGGGTGAATTTGTGATAAGGTCTAATGGATAATAAAGCATTTTTTTGCTGCTGGTCAAATAGAAACTACATTTTCAGTCAGTTGCTAACCATAAATCCAGATTTTGGTGGATCACGCTGGAACAAATGTCCGTGCTGAGAGATGAAAGGAGACGACTGTACACTATGTGATTTATGCTGGCTACAATCATAAAAGACAGAACCTATTTTCTATGTAATGCACTGGCCCAAACTGGAAATTATATTACTTTCTCTGTAAGAAATGTTAAATGAGAGGTAATCAGTTGGCCCCAGTAGACTGCTCATTGGACTCTGAGACGCTGAAAGCCAGGGATACCCAATCCTGGTCCTGGAGGACAAGTACCCAGCATGTTTTAGTTGTTTTTCTGCTTCAACACACCTGATTTCAATCAGCATGTGATTGACAGGCTGCTGCAGAGGCTGATGAGTTTTTGAACAGGTGATTCAACCAATGAATCAAGAGTGCTGGAGCAGAGAAACAACTAAAACATGCTGGATGCTAGCCCTCTGGGACCAGGATTGGGAACCTCTGCCTTAGACCAGGGTTTCCCAACCGTGGTCCTCATGGCACACTGACCTGCATGTTTTCCACGTCTCTGCTTCACCACACCTGATTTACATTGCCTCCTCAGGAGGACATCAAGTGCTGCAGATACCTGTTAATCACTCATTCATTTAGGCCAGGTGGTGGCAGCAGGGAAACACAACAGGGTTGTTTAAAAGGGCAACATGGAAGACATGCAGGACAGTGTGCCTTGAGGGCCAGGGTTGGGAAACACTGCCTTGGACTATATTTGTCGTTTGAAATCGGACTCTAAACAGGCTTTTGCACAGCTTGACATTCCAGCTGAGCAGGTTTAAATCAGGTGTGTTGGAGCAGGGAAACAACTAAAATCGAGCTTGACAGGTGCCCTCGAGGAACAAGGTTGGATGCCACTGCTCTATATCGTCCTCTCATAATTTCTTTTACTCTTCTCTGTTTTCAGCTGCAGAGACTCAAGCGCTCCTTGTCCTTCAAGACCAAGAGCATCCGCAGCAAGAGCGCTGACAACTTCTTCCGAAACAGCAGCGAGAACAAGACGGGGCTCCTCTCTGATGTGAGCAGCAGTACGGGCCATCTCTGCAACATCGGGATGGCCCCGCCACACACCACCCACCTCCCCATCCCTCCGGTGCCCCCGGCCATTCCCTGCGCTCCCCCTCCCACGTCGCGCTCCCAGGCTCGCAACCCGCTGCAGGTAGACTCGGCCGGACACTGCTTTATGGAGCACATCTTCAAGAAGCCCACCTTCTGCGACGTCTGCAACCACATGATTGTAGGTAGGGTTTGAACACCAAACATCATGCAGCGACCTCCACCCTGTTCCTGCTACTAGAGCTTAACAGTGGGGCTGATAAGCATGGATCTGTTCACATATAGAGAGAACCTGACCGCTTCATGTCTTTAATATGGTATGTTGTCAAAACAGGATACTGAGTACAAGTGTGATTAAAGTATCTCTGCCCTAATCTGAGCCCAGTTTCTACATATCAGATATCCTGAAGCTCTGTTTTCTGCTGCCTGATGCTCCTGTTTTCCATCTGCAGATCTTTTTACTACAACGAGAGTCGATAGAAGGCGAAGCATTTGTCTGAAGAGCTCATAATAATGTGTTACAAATGGACTTCATAGAAAATGGCCAAAAAGTCAGACATGCACTGCTAAACATTTGTTGAAAGCCTTCTCAGGAGAATTAAAGCTGTTGTAGCTGCAGAGTTTCCCCAACGCTATTTTAAACCCTACATTTAATGGAGTTCTCATTAAAGTTCATGCACAACTAAAGATGCGTCCTGACACTTATGACGATGTAGTGTAGTTTCCTCCCAAGATAATAAAACACAACTAACATTCCCAAGTGAAATTAAGTAAACAAAAGTTACCAGTTTGCAGATCTGAGTGCACCTAACTGTTATTATTGAAGACGTCTCAGGTGACAGCGTGGTGTCAGCTGGGCCTGTGATTGGCTCTGCGCCCTCGTAACCACTCAGGATAAAATATGCTGTCCTGTTCTTCATTTGTCCTGCTTTAATGAGATCACGCTGGGCTTGATGAGATGCACTGGCTCTGTCTAAATCAGACTCAGTGCTCCGGCCATAAAAAGCACAGAAGAAGAAGGTTATAGATGTAGGTTTATGAAAAAGAAATAATCTCTTCTCTGGTTGAATAAACCTTATTTAAATGGTTTGACTGCATTATGATTTAATAACTTACCAGATTTTACTCTGCAGTTTTGAAGACATTTCTTTGAATAAAGCAACTTTTATTATTAGGTAACTTTTGTAAATCAGTTTTATTTTTATGTGTATGTTCTTACGAATCCAATAATAAGTTTCACCTCTATTCTGTAGCATCTGTTTTAGTCTGAGAAGTATTACTCTGATATAAAAGTCACTGCCTGGTGCTAAAGTGGTTATTGGAGGACAAAACATCACAAAAGAATGATAATTTAGATGTGATTTTGTTGTTTTTCCTCGTGGGTCAGCATTAGGGTGTCTCATCACCTCTCTTAATTTATTAAAGAAGGCAGTTTGACAAGAAGATATTTGACTTTCTGTCCTCAAGTCTCATTAGAAACAGATAAAAAGTTTAATCACTGTTAAAGGTTTGAACCCGATCCCTCCGTCTCAATTAGAGTGACCTGAAAGTTGTTGAAGGATCAATGCGTCGCCTCAGCTACTTCCATTGTTGTTGTTGTGATCTGTAACCAATCAGAGAGGCTTTGGCTTCCTCCCAGCTTCTATCTCAGTAAATCGAACTCCATCAGTCCTGCGTCATGCAAGTTTAAACGAGGATCTAGTTTCGAGCTGCACTCACTGCTGCAAAAGAAGTTGAGATTTATTTATCCCTATTTTTGGAAACATAAACTACATATTATCTCAGATCACTGACCCCTTTTTCACCCTGCATGTTTTTGAGGAAGATCTGAACTGAAACCCTGCTTCTCACACTAATTCTCCACATGGAGCAGTCCTACCACTGCCACCGTTACACCGCTGTGGCTTCTTTCCTCGCTGCTCTTTCAATTCCCAGAAAACTAGATCGATTTTCCCTTTGCATATCTGCATTTCCACTCATGCACAGAGAGGGAGCGTGCTTGAACTGAGCTTATAGATAACCCAGTAAAGAGCCAGAATAATAGGGATGCTGGGAATGCTGTAAACTTTAAATAAAATTACAGCCTAAGACTTGATTTCAAAACTGAACATTGAATATTTTCAAACGGACTTTTTTCAGGACCTATTTCCTCCCTGACCAAGCTCTTGAGGCCTAGCAAGTTGCTTTTAGGTTTGTTAAATTAAACAGAATATGTGAACACTTTTTTAAAATTAAATGGAACAAACATATTTGGTGCAGTTAAGAACAAAACATTCAATGTGACACATTTGAATTAGCGTCTTGTGAACTTTTGATTATAGTTTTTCCTTTTAATCAAATACAAATCAGAGGTTCACACATCTATCATTTAGAAAAGGCCAAAAATAATAAAAGTGTTGAATTTGGTCCCTTTAAATTTATTTTAGCATCTTATGATCATCCAGAACAAATTCATTTACGACATGCAAGATTTACTTTGAAATATTTCTTTTTCAGGTTGCGCTCCAGAACTACCCTGTAAAAACACACCGACCTGCCTGCTGTTATCTTCACTCATTATTAAAGAATGAGGTCTAGAAATGCAGGACAAGGCTCATTCTTCTTTTTAGTTCCTCATCTTTCTATTTTCCTCTTTGTCTCTGGTTTTTATTCTTTCACAAACCTTCATTCGCATATGTACACACACTGAAAAGGGTCGGCACAGGATTAAGTACAATTCTTGAATCGTACTGAATTTATTTCTGCTGATGTGAGTGGTTTATCAAAGCTGCAATTGCAAATTTGGAAAACAAATTAGCTTAAAACATTTTTTCATGCTTCTTAGCAACCTTCTAACATTGTATAGCTATAAATATATTGTGGAGATGAACAAAAATGTTTAAAAAATTAATAAAAAATTGGCTTTCATGCATTTGTCTCCGCCAATAACACGTTTCAGACGAAAAGCAGCTATTGGACCATCCGGTTGTCGATCTCACCAAACCGCCACACTACCTTGGGTCCTCCACTCATTACGCACTTGCATATTTAGCAGCACCACTGGTGTGAGATGTTTGCTGCTCAATAATATCAGAGAAGGAGAAACTGCCGGCTGCTACCGCTTCAACTTTAGGACAAACAACCAGAGTCCCAAAAAGAAAAACACCATTTAAAGTCACAGACAACAAAAGACATTCTGACCTAGAAAACAACAACTGGTGTTTAGTGCTATCTCGTTTCCCTGGCATTGTGAGTTTAAAATTCTGGCAGAAGTGTTTGTGATCAAACATCTAGCTTGTTCTGAAGGCTCGCTATAACAACTTGAATGAGGAAGAATGAAATTCACTCAAGTAGCTAACAGTGATAGCCTTCAGCTGTTCAGTTAAAGTACAGTAGATTATAGTCGGTGTTTGTATCTCTCAAATTTTTTCTTTTTTGTAAGTGTACCATACAACCTGTCTCACAACTGCTTGTGAGAAGTAAATGAATGATTTAATGAATGCACAGATGACTTTGCACATACATTTTTTTTTTTGCAGTTTGCTGAGATCCCTTAAAGGAAAAATCTGAACCTGTTATCCCATTTTATCTTCTTCTTTGTGTTTCAGGCACAACAGCCAAGCACGTGGTGTTTCTGGCGGGAAACACGGCGAAGCACGGCCTTCGCTGCAAAGCTTGCAAGATGAGCCTGCATCACAAATGCGAGAATGGAGTCGGGCAGCAGCGCTGCATGGGGAAACTGGTGAGACATGTGACACACAGGGCACGAAACAAACAGCAGACTGTGCGCTTTCGGCAGTTTGGGAGACTCCGAGCTGCATCAGTGTTGCCATGACAACGAACCAAACTGTCAGGATTGTCTGTCAATCTGACCGTTCCCCAACAGAATGTGCTTATTCAGAAATCACACTTTCTGAAGTGTCAGCGTTCCAGCTCATCTGTGGCCACCATGCTTCCTCTTCATCCTCCTCATCATCGTTATATCATCAGCACTTCTCCCGTTAGATAATTCAGCTCTCCGCTTAAAAAACACTGATCTCGTCTTTTATCTAATCAAGTTCTGGTGGTGCGTTGCAAATGCCTCCAAACAAGGTTTAAAGGTGTGGTTTACTTGTTTACTCAATACGTTTGCAGTATTTTCTATTGTAAATCAATGCCTTATGAGTCATAAAAAAACTATGATGGTCTTTTTCTGAGATGCAGAAGTTTGCTGTAGAGGAAGTCTGAAAGCAGCAGGATTACTCTTTTTAAAGCCTTCCCTTGGGCGAGAGCCAAGATGGGCGAGGCCATGAATGCAAATTTACAGTGTGACATCACAACGTGAGGATGTTCAAATCCTAGCATTTCACCATCCATCTTCTATCAGAAGCTAACCTAAAGACAGGTGTAGGAGACTATTTTTCATGTTCAGCCTGTATGAAAAACACAGATTGACTGATTATAATCAGAAATAATCATTAAAATGTTTTTTTCAGTCAACCACACCTTTAAAGAATAGTCTTTTATCGAATAATAAATACTTTTTTTTTCATCGTGAAAAAATGTAAATTTGAGATAACGAGTCCCAAGTTTTATCAGTTGTTGACTGTATTAAAAGCCTTGCTGGAGTGAGTTTGTCAGGGTGGTCCGAGTGTTTTTACTGAGCAGGATTTTGCCCCACTCCTAGAAGCCAATAAAGCATTCCTCGCTGTCATCGCGGTCCAACTAAACCCGCAGACAAAACTCAACTGGGAGGCTGCAGCTCAGACACACAAAACAGACCGAATGCAAAGCTCCACGTTCTGATTTATCATTATTTCCTCCTGGTGTTTTCTTTCGTTTGAAGGAAATTTACTTGGAATTAGGAAAATAACTGATTTAGATTAAGAAAACAGAGAGGAAATGTTGTATGGGATGAGTAACGTCAAACAGTCATGAGTTATTTTATGTTTTTTGTTCCACTGTGTTGCATCTTTCCACAAGACGTCTGTGGGATGAGGCTTGACGACGTGACTGGCTCTCAGGAGTGGAAAATGAGGTTGAGAGGTCAAACAGAAAAAGGGACGTTTCCCCAGAGGAGTACAGCTCTGAATTCTACTTCTGCTGCCATGCTTGTTTCTCTTGGCTGAAGGAGCCTTCAGTAACCTCATACTCCAAATCTGGGTTCAAGCTGACATATGATTTTTCTAGGAAGCTCTTTAAAGGCTACTTGAGGATATGTTCTGCTCTAGATTATCTCTGCAAATGCTTGTTGAAGGTATAGTTTGTTTTATTTTGTAAGGATGTGTCCCTAACATATTGTTTTAGTTCAATCAAGAAGGACCTTTTAGAAAAAGCAGACCACTCACAAGACGAGTGACGCACACAGTTTTTGTTAGGATTCAGAAAACGGCTACGATGCAGCTGACGTTTCTGGGAGACGCGCCAGCCTGGATCCAACTAATTGTAAGCCAATATGTGAGTTGGTGCTTAAAACTTCGCTCACACCCGGACAACATGTTGCTGGATAATATCTGCTGCTGTGACACCGTGGGGAAAGTTGTGAGACCAGATCAGAGCGAAGCGTTGGTCATAAATGATGAAGCCACAGCTTCAGCTCGTCTTCACAGCTTCACTCCCACCTCTGATGCTTTTGATGCTCCAAGTAACCTGGATATTTGTAGGAAGTTCTCCAATTTTTTGATGGATCTTTGAAATAATCCCATAAAATTCTACCTTAAAGACAAATGATACATTTTTTTTGAAAAATTTAGAAAAAAATTCTGTTCTACATTATGTTATTTTCCATTTTTCAGAGCAGTTTATATATGATTAAAATGTTACCGTTGGCGCCATGGAGACGTCATTTCTTCTGAAATCTAAGTTATTTTCTTGAGAACTCAGAAATAAGATGCTTGGATTCAACAAAACCCCATCTCCACCCGTGTGAATTCCCCCCACTCCATGACGTAACCCTAGACCCCCAGCAAAGCACTGTGGGCCAAACAGACGAAGAAGAAGAAAGCAGCCACGACAACGCGCTGTACACCCATGTGAAAATAAAACACGCACATTTTTTCACCATGTTGTACAAACAGCCTTATTATTCCTAACTCGCCATTGTAACCATTCAGCTAGCGGTTAGCATACTGGCTTTTACTCATCAAGTAAGATTCAAGCATGAAACCCAAAAAGCACTTTGGTGATGTTTGTGTTGACAACGTGGTCAAAATATCAAAGAAGTGGATTTTAACAGACAGATGATGAAGTCAATCCAAACAAGATTCCCGGTAACTTTTCTGTTATTTTTGTCCTTTTATGTTTGTTGTTCAGTTAAGTTTAAATTTAGTCCTCTCAAAGAGTTTAAATCATGTAAGGCTCAAGATCTTTATGAAGATTTCTGACTCGATTCGCCCCTTCCAAAAATCTTAAAGATGCAATCGATTTTCCATCCATCCATTTCCTGAACCTGCTTTGTCCACGCAGGGTCATGGGGGGTGGGGGTGGGGCTGGTGCCTTTCTCCAGCAGTCAGCGGTCAATCAGGTGGGGTACACCCTGGACAGAGAGCCAGTCCATCGCAGGGCAACACAGTCACAAAGGACAGACAATCATGCACACACACACACACCTGAGGACAATATAGACAGACCAATCAACCTAACAGTCATGCATTTGGACTGTGGGAGGAAGCCGGAATACCCGGAGAGAACCCACGCATGCACAGGGAGAACATGCAAACTCCATGCAGAAAGATCCCAGGCCGGGAATCGAACCCAGGACCTTCTTGCTGCAAGGCAACAACTCTAACCGCTGCTCCACTGCAGAGCCGCACTCGATTTTCATAGCTCTAAACATAATTTTATAAGATGTTCCCACCATGTGTCGTGTATTAAGAGCCCTCTGGCCTAGTTGGAACAATGTTGGGGCTGTTCTGATCTCAAATCAGAGCTAGACGTGGTTGATTGTCTTGATCGGATTTTGGGAACAAAGGAGTCATCTGCATGTTGAATGTGACGTGTCGAGGAGTCACGTTTGACCTTCAGAGGTGCAAGATTTTCTGTCTGACTGTAGTTTTTGCTGTGTGGCCTTACACCACACACAGTAGGATTAAAACTGTTATAAGAGGGCGATGGTAGCCCAGGAGTCAAGAGTTCACCTCTTACTGACGGGTTGCTGGTTTAAATCCAGATGTGTTTTAAGGATCTGTACTTTGCTTTTAGTTTGAGGCCAGAAAAAAAAGATAAAATAACCATTTTGTTTTGCACCCAGGAGATCCATGCATGACCTTATATAAAGCGTCCCCCAAACCAGACCCTGTTTATGACCTTTTTTACTAAATGCGTGAGCTTCAAGTGCTCACTTGGAACATTTTCTTGTCAGTGTGACATGAAACCTGAAGAACTCTATAGAGTTCGTCATTTTAGCAGAAAGTTCTCTAAATACCAAAAACTCCTAAACGTATGTGGCTGATAATGAAAGCCTGAATCAGGAGCAACTAAAAAATGAGTCAGATAATCATTATCTAGTGTGCTGCAGACTCCATGATGTGAATACTGATCAAATAAGATAAGCAGAGATGTTAAATGTGTTACAGTTGCAGTAGATCATGGAAAGTTATGATTGCATGAAGGAATTCAGCTCAGGGTACGTGACGGATTGTCGTTTTGATTTTTGATGCTCATGCACACAATGAAACTGCTGTGTTATTAAAGTCTGAGGCACATTCTGCTGAAAGTTGAGGAAATGGTTGTGTGTTTTATCCTCGGGGGCAGTTCTGTATTGAGTGTGACGTCTGAATCTGACATCATTTTGCGAACTCAGTCAGCCCCTCTGGCATCGTTTGAACGATTTGCCCTTGAACTAAATTTTATGCAGGGTGGTTTTTGTGTTTATTTTTCTTCTCACAGCTGGCATAAACACCTGATTTGTAGATTTTGGATTTGGTCTGCAGTCTTCTAGGAAATTTTCATTTATATCACTTTTGCTGCAAAAACTAAGTGAAATAATATTTTATTTTTCATTGATTCATGAGAAATTATTCATGAAAATTCATGTTTTGTGTTGGATTTTCCTCTTTTGAAGTCGGCTGCATTCAGAAAATTGCAACAGAGAGGTGTGGTGTGGGGTTTTTTCAGCATCAGGGTGCTTTGCTGCCTGCAGCGTGAAGGATCGATTTGTTCCTAGTGTTTGTCACCTCACTCTTTCTGCCCTCTTGTTTCCCCCCCACCATCAGCCTAAAGGTTTTCGGCGGTACTACAGCTCTCCGCTACTGAACCAGGAGCAGTATGGCTGCATCAAAGAAGTCATGCCCATCGGTAAGCAGCAGGCACACACAACCCCAGACTAATTTCAGAACAGATTTTCTTCAGTTGATACAATATTTTTTTCTGCCCCAAAGCTTGTGGGAATAAGGTGGATCCAGTTTATGAAGCCCTGAGGTTCGGGACATCGCTGGCACAAAAGGCCAAGAGGGCCAGCGGCTCCGAGTCGCCACACAGAAACTCAGTAAGAACATAATACTTGTTGGGTTTTTCAGGCTTATTTCAAATCCCTGCTTTATTTGGCCACATGTATTCTCTGTCCCTCTCTAGCTGATTGTCTAAATAGATACTGCAGCAGCGAGGCAGTCAGCACTACCAATAAAGGCAGTGTGGTCCTGGCAGGGTTGCTGGATAATGTCACTGCAGTCTCATGTAGCAGCTCCCAGGAAGAATCAGAAAGGCTGAACGTGTTTCGACTGCATTTTCTGTTAAATCTAAGGTCAACCGTAGCTGAATGATGTGATTAAAGCTGCTTGGTTTGGACTGCTATCCTGTGCAGCTGTTACAGATGTGTGTGTGTATCAGCTTTAGAGACAACGTGACCCCAACAGGGGCCTGATAATAGCTTCTAAATATAGGCTATGAAACAGAGTGGTTTTTCCAATTAATATTTACATGGAAATGAATGGAGAATTTCAGGGAAGTTTTTTCTTGTGCATGCCTTAAAGTTCGATCAGTTGTGTGTCGTTTTTGCAGACTAGTGACTTGGACAACGTTCCAGAGGAAGTTGTGGCTCACTGCAGTCGGCGGGAGCTGTTGAGAAAACACAGTGACGACGGTGAGTGTGTGTCGTGTTTAAGCAGCAGTGTCACATCCAACACACTCGTATTCCTGTTCCTTCAGCTTTCATCGGAGCTAAACTCACTCTGTTTGCTGTGTTTGCTCACTTTGACAGCTTATGCGGGTGTAGAAAAAAACTTGGCAAACTGTGTTTCCTTTTTCCTTTGTGCGTGTGTTGCTCCGGAGTGTGTGTTGTAGGAAAACTTTGCAGCCTATGACCTGATTTTTACTGGTGAGCCACCCAATCATTTTTATGAATGTTTCTGTTTGTTTCCTCAGTCTTTGTGGTCATTGAAAATGGAACGGAGCGTTACCACCTGCCAGAGAGGAAAGCTGATGATTTATCGGTGAGAAAACAATCATTCAAACTGTTCTTGTTCCACACAGCTCATGTGCAGTAGCCTACAGTCCCATGCAGACAGAATTCATCATCACCGTGGCAATTTTCTGCAATAAGAACATGAAAAAAGCTCATTTTAGCCACGCAATCATTGGCTATTAACAAAAAACTGTTGCTTTTTGGCAAATACTGCTGATTCTGACCAGAGTTTGAACTCTGCATCCATTAAAGTCAGCTTGATGTACACCAGAAACCCAAAAGCATCTTCTCAGTTCAGATTTCTAACAGAAAATCACTTTATTGACATTTTTGTAGGAGTTAAAGTGTAAAATTGGCAACTGTTGCTCCATGTTTTCACTTGAATCTACACAAATCACTTCACTTTATTTATAAAGCACCTTCTACAACCTCATCGGATATCCACGGTGCCGTACACGACAAAACAATAAAGCAGAACATGCAAATAAGTAATAGAAAACACTAAAATCAGGATCATATTAAAAACCCTCACCTTGATGGAGCAACAAACATCAGGACAATGGTGCCAGACATGGTAAGGGAGCAGTATTTTGAACTTGACCCTGTACTTCCTCGGGAGCCAGTGCAGCGATGCGAGCACCGGAGTAATGTGCTGTCTATGTCCAATGCCCATCAAAAACCTGGTTGTGGAGTTTTGAACCAACTGCAATCGTGCAACCGCTCAGGCCGGCCAATGCATTGCAGAAGTCCAGCCTTGAAAGGATAAAGACATGAATGACGGACTATAAATTTGCTATGGACAACATTAACATTTTATTTAAGTTCTCTAAATGTTGCTTGAAAGGAAACACCACATTGCCCCTTGCGTCCAATCCAACAAAAGAGGAGGTTATTATCCTGGCTGCCCGCTGCTCCAGCAGCAGCATTAAAAGCCCCTTTAAGGTCGACCTGCAGCTCTTATTTAGCTCTGACGGATGGTGACTGTTTGATGTTGTTGTGTTGCACCCTGAAGCCTTGTGGCCTCGGTTAACTCGCCTCATCCATCAGCTGCATTTTCGGTGCTCATCTGCGACACTCAGGGAGCCATTTCACTTCATTAAAGCAGCACAAAGAGGAAGAAGTTTCTCGCCGTCCAACAACGACAGGCATTAAAAGTCCTGAGAAGTTTAAGAAATTCCCTCCTGAGGAGCTTCTGTCTGATGGGTTTCTGGAATGCAGCAGGTGAGATTTAGACTCGAGGTGATGGAACAGGAAGGAGCCCCTACTGCAGAGCGACACCAACACTTCTCAGAGAACTTCCTTCCCACCTACACAGCCCCGTCCTGTTTTTGTGAAAACCCGGTCTTGTCTCTCCCACTCACGCTGACTGGAGACTTCAATGAACAGATTGCAACTTAAACCACACCTCGGTCCGCCTGCGTGCTGTAAACGTGGGCTCCTACTGCTAACGTGAACGCTGTCGGACTATTTTAATACACAAATCAAATCAAATCACATGTATGACTCTCTGAATGTGTCTGGTTTGTTGTCTAGATGGAGCA